GTCCCAACCGTTCGATTAAAGTACCACTCTCATATGTTTGCTTAGGGAGAGCTGCTGTGATCTGGAGCTTGGAAAGTGGTCTGCAGTGATGCGCATATGAGCACGCCGATATCCTTGTTAACATGCATCTGGATTGAGCACCAACTTCACGATCCTCGGGCCACACCCTTTGTAACTTAGGGATCTTCGTAGCCTAAAAATCGATTGCGCTAAGGCGTTTTCTAATGACAGAATCCCGCGAATGTAGCGCCACTGCACCTGGTCGTGGGTGGCCGCTTCGCCCTCATCACGTGCTCCAGCTTCGGGAATACCGTGCACAATGACGGTCCTGGCTAATGATTTATTACGGTGTTTTTCCAATTCTTGCTTCGTCAGTTTACACTGGCCCCACGGAATACCCGGGAAGATGCAGATGGATCATAACTTATTCTCGATGCTAACTGTCGATAGCAAAACTGCTTCTGCCTCATATCGGCCGAAATCGATAAAAATGGGTATACGAAGTGCTTTGTGTTTGGGTGATGGGGGAACCGTGTTCGGTTGGTGGGCTTAGTTACAACACTTAGGATGTCACATGTGAGGTTCCGCTGGCTCACCTCATCGAATTGCTCCCCTTTTAAGTAATTTAACGTCGATTCTGGAATGTTGGTGCTGATGACCGATGGTACACTATGTGGTGTTTTGCTGACCATTTGTGCAGCCCATGTTGATGTCAACCACCCCAATGGCTTGCATACGACCGGTGGAGATGTATAAGTACAATTACCCGTCTACATTTTTAAGGTTTTTTCTACATCTATTTTGGGTCAAGTGGGGTAACCGAAGGCGTACGTTTTCTGTAGCCTTTGACAGCAACAATGTTTCAACCACCATTAGTGTCGTCTTGATATTGCGGAACAGTTGATGGGTGGACAAGGCCATGTTAGCACGTTTTCCAATAGGACTGGAGCTGGTGTGTTTGGGTGTATTTGGACTAATGGTGGTTTTGACACGCTGAATGACGTTAAAATTTATACTTTACATTTTTTCTAAAAGGCAGTCTGCCTAGTTCCTAGTTTCCATTGGAATCTATCGGGAATGTGCGAGACTTGACCGCCGTAATGTTTTATCCTAGTATGGCGACTTTAGCCTACCTTATTCGCTCACTCACTGCCATAAGTCCTTTGCATTTTTTAAATAGTTAACTTATTATATTATCCAGTGAAGGACCATACAAACTGCGCGAAACCACAGAGTCCGGACTCCTATAGTACAGCTTCACCTTGTTCGATGGAAGCTTAACAAAATTAGGAATGTAATGGCCGAGTAATGGGAACACTGAATTCATGTTCGTATTTTCATAGAAAGTAGAAGCCGTGATTAAACTTTGCACAATAATGCGCCTCGAAGGGGAATCGAGACCCGGACACACGGATTACCGGTCCGCTGCTCTACCACTGTGCTACCGAGGACTGACGATCAGGTGCGCAATTTAATACATGACTTCTGCTTGGTTCGCGACGTATTGACAAGTGAGTGAGCCAATCTGCAACACCAGGACAGATACTGTGAGCTTATTGGCAATACGTCGCGAACCAAGCAGAAGTCATGTATTAAATTGCGCACCTGATCGTCAATCCTCGGTAGCTCAGTGGTAGAGCAGCGGACCGGTAGTCCGTGTGTCCGGGGTTCGATTCCCCGTCGAGGTAGATTATTGTGCAAAGTTTAATCGTGGCTTCTACTTTCGACGAAAATTACACTACTCACACAAACCACCAGTAATCGTGTTTGTATATTTTTAGCATGAAGTTAGCCGACCGACCCCCTTCATTTGGCCACATTAGGGACGGATTCTTCTGATCTGTCCATACAACCCACTCCTTCAATGTGTGTTTGCCCATCGATGCCTCTCAGTTCAATAGCTGAGCTCTTGACTGAACCATGGTCAGTGCACTGAGTCGTCTAGGTCTCTATCTGCAAGCTGAATCGAGGGGCTCTGATGTTATCGCTTCCGTAGCACGTCGCGATGCGTCACAAGGCGTTTCGTGAAAGAGTAATCGAATTCGTTATTTAGAGGAACACGGAAGAACCCGCACTGACTCACGATAGTTAGTTAATAAAAATGTGAGCCTGAGTGTGGAAGAATCCTGAATATCTTTTCCTGTGCTACCTTCGTCCCGCTCATTAATTCCTTAGCCGTGGTTCTCACTACCAGTACCCAAATCTGTTGACGATGTTCCGAGCTTGGTAAAGGGATCGCCTACGTTTCACCACCATGCGAGGTGGCATCTTCAGTGCGGTGATAGACAGTGTATAATCCTGCTTATTGAATCGTCAGTCCGTCATCCACGGGCAGGTGACTTTTGAAGGTGGCAATTTCGATTTGCGCCACGTGATCTCTGCCCATTTGCTTCCGCGGCTGAACCATGTCTTGCGATTCGCCGGAGATCTTTCTTTCTGAGTTGATGGTACACGGGGTCAATGTCGATGCGCATGTTGATCGAATTATTAGAGGAGTACCATGCTTCTAGGAATTCTCTTCATTTCTGTGTTGTTGTTTGAGCTAAAATCACCGTTTTGTTCCAATTGAAGCTATGTCCCTCTTCATCCACATGCGCTGAGGCAAGAGACGACGCATAATGTTTTTTACAAGTCCTCTGATGTCCTTGCATTCTTGTGGATAGTTTCCTTCCTGTCTGCTCCACACAGTTCATTTCACAATTATTGCAATTTATTTTATACACGACGTTGGTTCGTTCTTGTGCATTCCGAATGTCCTTTGGGTTTGACAGTATTCTTCTCAAAGTAGCGGTTGGCTTATGAGCGATCACGATGTTGTGTTGTTTGAGCAATCTGGCAGTCATTTCAGATATGTTCTTCATATACGGCAAAACGATCCTCTTGCTTGCATTTGGTATCGGCTCGGTGTTCATAAGTTTGTGGTTTAGACATCTGCGGATGAAGCTGCGTGGGTATCCATTGCGCTCGAACGAATCGAATAGGTGTTCCTCTTCTTCCCGTTTGGCTTCCACTGTACTGCAGTGTCTTTCAATCCTGCGAAATAGTGTCCGCACGCACTTTGGCACTTTGGGTGGTTACTATGGAAGTTCAAAATTTGTTCCACACGTGTCCCTTTCCTGTGAACGAATATTTAAAATTCACCATCCTTTGTCCTGGTCACCAACATATCCAAGAATGGGAGCATGTTTTCTGCCTCTAACTCCATTGTAAACTGTATCCCATCCACTGCATTGTTGAGCAGTTGGTGTGCGATGGCTACTTCACTGCGTTTCAGTATTACAAATATATGGTCGACTTAGCGTACCCACAACTTCGGGTTAATAGCTGGTAGTAGATTTCCTTCCAACTTTTACATGACGATCTCAGCGATCAAACCCGATACTAGTGGTCCCATCGGTGCCCCCTTCACTTGCTCATAGATCTCTCCGTTGAACGAGAAGTAAGTTGTGAGGCATAGTTGGAGGAGCTTGCAAATATCTGAAATGACTGTTAGATTGCTCAAACAACACCGCATCGGGGTCGCTCACAAGCCAACCGCTACTTTGAGAAGAATACTGTCAAACCCAAAGGACAATCGGAATGCACAAGGACGAACAAACGTCGTGTATAAAATAAATTGCAATAATTGTGAAATGATCTATGTGGGGCAGACAGGAAGGAAACTATCCACAAGAATACAAGAACATCAGAGGTCATGTGAAAAACATTATGCGTCGTCTCTTGCCTCAGCACATGTGGATGAGGAGGGATATAGCTTCAATTGGAACAAAACGGTGATTTTAGCTCAAACAACAACACAGAAAGGAAGAGAATTCCTAGAAGCATGGTACTCCTCTAATAATTCGATCAACATGCGCATCGACATTGACCCCGTGTACCATCAACTGAGAAAGAAAGATCTCCGGCGAATCGCAAGACATTGTTCAGCGGCGGAAGCAAATGGGCAGAGATTACGTAGCGCCAATCGAAATTGCCACCTTCAAAAGTCACCTGCCCGTGGATGACGGACTGACGATTCAATAAGCAGGATTATACACTGTCTATTACCGCACTGAAGATGCCACCTCGCATGATGGTGAAACGTAGGCGATCCCTTTACCAAGCTCGGAACATCGATCAACTGGTGGACAACCAAGCCGGGCTACCAGTGTTCCAAATTATTTCGAGTACCCAAATCTCTTTTGTGCCAACCCAAACTTTATTTTCTTTGGCTCTCAATCCAGATTGTTTTCGGATTTTAACTTGATTCCATGTTCATTTGCAACTTGAGAATTTGGGTCACCTACACACGTTGACGGACTTTTCCATCTCCTGGACAAACTTCATTATCGCCTCGCGTGTTAATGCCTGTTATTATCTGTGTTCTGTAATGCTTCAAACTAAACCACTCTTTCGACATCTGGACACCGCTGTGCGAACCTTGTTACATTGTGGCTCATATTACCTCGCATCGCATGAGTGACTTGACAATATTGCACCGTTGATGTGGGTGGAGGTCACCCCCACGAAACCATCCCGATCGTGCGACTTATTGTTTTGTTCCCCTTTCTCATTGGTCCTGTTTAAGCCTGTGTAAGCCACAGTGCATTGAGACGATAGTGTATTCTACGTGTTACTTGAAGCCATACATTTTTGGCTAATTTGGGTTGAGTTGAAGTTGTGATACGCTTGTACTTGTGTTGAGTACGTATTGAAGTGCCGGGTTTGTTGCTGTTGATTTCGGTGGAAACGATTTTTTCAAATCTTCCAAGCAGTCTGACGCTTACGCTGTGTTAAAAATATATTGATAGGAGGAGAATCAGGCAGCTTCGTCTTCTTCCTACTCTAATGCGTCCGTTTCAGTTAGAAAACATTATCTCACGGTGCATTTGATATGGCTATACAATATTTCTCGTGATTTTCGGATAGCTGCCTCGATACTTGTTTAAGCTGATGCACAAAGCCGATGGGATTGATAACGACTAATTCCTTGATGGTGTTTTTTTGCTTGTATATTTTAGGCTCAAAATCTCTCACAGCAGCTGAATGGGCTCAAACAGGAACTTCCATGGACTTACGTGACGTGGGCTTCGGTACTGGCCGGAAAACAACCTTCCAGATGTACAACATAAGATACGCTTTTGAAACCGAGGTACTCGAAATGTAGTTACAAGTTGGAAAATTGCTAACCCAGCGTCTCAGTAAAACCTTCCAGGCGCATAAACTTACTTAGAAGTGGATGCTACCATAATTTCTAAGGCGCCGAACAGATGAACCATAGGACGTCATACAAAGCTAGTTATTCTATAAGCCAATATCGCTTTAACTTAAATAGCATATCGCACACAACCTAGCCCATTTTAACACTACTTGATTGCCAGTGCGACTGCTGTGGCCTGCGAATGACGCGTTGGTTAGTTTTTTATATATGCAACAAAAGGGCAAGCGCCGCAACACAAACACCTTTAATTACGAGGCGACTATTTGTGAAAGTGTTCTAATTACCTTATATACTTCAAATATTTGGAACTAATACGTCAAAATGCATAAGCGAGTAGACAGTTGGTGACCCCAGTTTTGGGTACACAATGGCTGGAGGACGACGAATAAAAGCTATGTAACACAGTAGGTTGAGCTGAATCGCGTTGTTGTTGCAACTCAAGTAAATTGAGCCGGGGTCATTCTAACCTACCGAAAGCTTGAAAGTGCATAGCGCCTCTTTCATTTGACAAACGGTGCAATTACATCTCCGTAAGTCATCGATACAGCCAACTACGTCAAAAGAATAGGTCAAAAGCGTATGAGTAAGAACAGTTTTTTGCCAGCCTTGCGGGAGCACTTTATCTTCGAAATTATGAAAGTATTTCCGTACTCAGGACGGATGCATTCAGCTAAGTTAGCGTATGTTAAAAGGCTCATAGGAAACTACCAACTACAGCAACATTTCTGTCAACACAAAGTGAAGAACTCGACCATGCGATGATGGCCCAGAACAACATCCAAGATATCAAGGTACTCTTCAGGTTACCAACTCTAAGGAACTTCATTAAAAAAATCGTTTAAGCCGCTCGCAGTACTAGGAAGGAGGGCAAAACAGGCGGTATATCTGTATATGACCGATTTATAAACTGAATAGCTTAAGCAATATTTCCTGATTCCTCAAACACTCTCTTACATTCACACAGTGGGAAGGAAGTTCTAACAAATGAATCAGAATCGGCTAGCATGTCTCAAAACAAAACAACGAGTGGCAGTCAGAATGCTCAACATTGTCACATAGTATTTGATGAAGATGTCACCGTCGTAATCCCGATTCGGGTAAAGCTCAGCTTATTCTTCATCTAGGTTCTATTTGCGTACATCGTTGAGTCTCCATTAAAGTAGGCTGGAAAGCAGCTTGGGCATGACACAAAGGCACTTCTTCCGTCACTGGCCACTGCATTCTGTTAGGTCGTCTTTGTGGAGATGAGCAACGAATTCACTAAATTGTAGTTGAACATACGGAATTATGTGGTGTTCATTTACTGGGACGGAAAACAGATGGAATTACATGGACATTAGGATTTGTTAAAAAGCAGAAGGAGATCGCATGGACCAACGGGTTCACAATGTTTCAAGGAGTATGATTTGCGGGTATTATACTTACTAGGAATCATCTTGGTAACCAGAAGTGAAAGGCACTTTTATTTGTGGCCAGTGGGATCGCTGTTTGAATTGCTGTTCTTATCGCAAGTCGAAGACTAAAAATAAGTTCACCACTTGTTCCACAGAACACTTCGGCCTCGGTTAGCCTTTTACTTCTCATGACTTGAACTAATAATTAAGGGTAGTGAGAACAGCCCGGAAAAGCTGTCCACTCCATCTCCATGATGTCATGTTCATTGGCCTTCAGCATCCGTTGACGATGAAATGTCCAAAACTAGGACTGGCGATTACTACATGACTCGCATGGTGGGGTTCAAGTACCTGTTGTGGGCATGTAGGTATTTAGCGGTTAGCAACTAAACAGAATGCAGTAACTGTAAATGTCCGCATAGCACCACGATTGTGCTTTCTATGCTTACTAACTTCCAGCAGTGGGAATCTTCGTAAATTTGTAGACATGCGGCCCGCAATACATTGTGGATGCTTTGATCAGCAAAGGTGAGTTACATCGATCTGTTCCCACGAAAGCTGTTGGTAACCACTACAGAAGAAGGTGATTGGGCACGTAATAATTTACTTCTCAAGATACTACAACTGTACCACGACAACTTGCAGACCTGTGTGCCTACTTGCCCCTTTATTATTGATGGTAGTTCAATCGCTTTGTGCCTTCGGTCGTTAAAACGCTAGTGGACACCAAGGGGAGCGTGAAAACCAGGATAACTAATGGCGAACAGTTGCCCTTCTTGCTGCTGTCGTAGTATCAGGTTGATACTTATCAAGTGCAACTCTGCTGATCTGCGAGTTGAAGTCTCAATGAGGCACTGCTATCTTCATGAGGCGGTGTTATGGAAATCCAGTGAGCTAACTGTTATCCCCATCCACAACTAACAAATAACTTTTCGTCCTTGAGAATACAAGTTGTTACTGTAAATAATCATAATAATGGTGAGTCCATAGATGTGCGTTTCACATTACTGCCACTTTTTGGCATTTAAGTACATTACACACACCATCCCATGGGACCTTTCAAGCCTTAAATTTTGTTTTAGCCGTATTATCCCAAGGTTCCATTGTCTACCCGTCCGAGGGTGCACGGGTTTCACAGAGTCGACTGCTGACTGCAATTCAGTCGTTTAGTGCTCCCTCTGCATGCACTCCTAACGTGACCTCCCATCAGCGTTGTCTACCGCCTCGATAATGGAGTCACCGGATACTCACAATGTGAATGCTCCAGCAGAGTACGTAAACGTGATATCTGTCGTAGCCTGTGGATAGAGAAGGATAAATGTGCTTCAACTGAGGGAGAAATATTGACGCCATAACTTGTTGGAAGCCTGCAGGAGCTGCATGTGATTAGAGCGGAATTAACCTCCAAGCATCGAGGGGAATCAGGCTGAGTTGGAAACGAAGTGCTAATAATGGTTTGGCAGTACATCTGAGCTGTACACGTTCCTGTGTGAACTGCTCATGGCCATGGCTAGAACTTTGCCCCAAATCGGCGCGTTGTTGAGTCGCCTAGGTGGGACTGCCAACGATGGATGAGTTTGACAAGCATACAATGTTGTAAGTCGTCAACGATTTGGTTAAGCTTCTTTCAGTGGGATAAACCATTGGATTCAGAGCTAGAGAAATTGATTACAAACAACATTAACTCAAACGTTAACGTACTGTTTTATTTGTCTGTCCCTCAGAATACCACGATTAAAAAAAGTTGGTGTGAATTCCCATAATCGGTTGGTGAATGGGGAAACAAACACATCCGTTGTGAACTATTTAGAACTAGTACCCAATGTCTGATAGACACCGTTTCCAGTAGTGTGGAAATACTCACGGCCACAAGTATGCTTTAATGTCGGTTAGGAAGCCAAGGTACTTTACTCGGTTGTTGAAACTTTCGTTATCATACTTAAGGACTGTAGACCACCGTGACCCACACGCTGTGAGGGGCTGCTACCGACCACTGAGCATGGCTGCCCGGTCCTCTCACTTGTAAACAATAGGAGCTTAGTCACAATCTCATGTACAGAACCGAATCCCTCAAATTATATGTCGGTAAAATACAGCTCAGCTTCACTTGCCTACAGTTGGCATTATTTGCCTGGCAATATGCAAGGAATTAGAGCCAGGCTGAATGAGCTGGTGTAGAACCAAGATTGATATACGCACATTTTGACTCACCACACATTCAGTTTCCACATACTAACTTCAGCGCTACAAGAATGTCGAGAAAAGTTTGATATAATGGCTATGAGTCTCCATTCGTTATCGTAAGCAATTTCCATGCTATGCCAATGTTGAATTTCTCCACTGTGCGTAGTGACACGTGAAAGACTGGATGCGAAAATTCCAACGTTCATGCTGCAGTGTCACTGATCTTGTGACAAGCCTATTGCAAGTCTTAAACCTAGTACCTTATATATCGTTCCTATTTACGTTTCCTTGTAAAGTAATCGGACTACAATCTTGAACGGTTAGTTGCTGCGGTCGTTCCGGTGGCCATCCTTCTTAGTGTATGAAGAAATCCGTAGTTTGGGTACTACTGCTTGTAAAGCACTACAAACTACATAAATCTGCAAATTTTAAGCAAATATCACAAATCATCATAAGTTTACTTTGAAGCAGTATAGTTCGGACTACACGTAAGTGTAATGAATAGATGTATCGTAAAACATGTATGGCATTTGTAAAGCCCGCACCAATGGACCGGACACCATGGGACCTATGGTTCTCAGTCGGTCTGTGTGAACCGTAGTTGATCTCATTTTCTGAGAGTTTACGCTATGAGCAGAAGTGAAAGCAGTGGCCTTACTATATAGCAAACAATGGTAGGATAAGAAAAAGGACTCTCCAGTTTCAACTTAAATGTGTACCCCATGGTTATTAAGAAAGAGCAATAATTATCTAGAAACGGGTGCTACACCATATGCATATATATGTGTAGGTAATGCAAATACGCAGGATGTTCAAAACGAAATCGAACTTTTGAACCAGTGAGACGACTGGCAGCGTGAGCGCGCCGCCGCTACTGAGAACGTGTGAAGCCTTGCTTAGACAACAAACTGCCATTTGCCACATTTCGCTCTTACTGTTATTTGGGAAGCTACAGGCGCTGAAGTGAAAAAGTGCACAAGCTGTTCGCCGGACTAGCACCACAATGATATCGAAAGAGATTCAAGAACAACCCGTGTGTGTACACTTGTGCAAAACTTTTTGGCAAAACTTTTACGGAGACAGCCAAGCATACAAGGAGGACTGTATGAGTCACACGCAGTGTTATGAGTAGCTTAAGTGTTTGGAACGCTGCAAGATGAGGGTGGGTGCCGATCCCAAGCCTGGACGACCTTCCATGTCAACAGAAGATGGTAACGTCGAGAAAGTTTGTGCCGTAATCCGTGGAACTCGCCGTTTAACTGTTAGGGAAGTTGCTGACAAAGTGGGCATCACCGTAGGATCATGCCATCAAATTCCAACGCGTTTGTGGGATGCTATGCGCAGGAAGAGGACTAAACAGTGGGAAAATCAGACTTGTATTTTGCATCATGACAATGCGCCGGCTCATGCATCGCTGCTTGTCCGCAGCTATCTAGCAAAACAACACACTCCTGCTGTGCCCTATCCATCGTATTCCCCGGATCTAGTCCCTGCAGACTTTTCCCTGTTTCCCAATGTTAAAACCATGTTAAACTACCTCGCTTCCATACCATAAATGAGATTTAGGACAATGCCACAAGAGACTTGCAGCCCAACCCAGAAAATGAGTTTCAGGCGACTTACCAAAAATAAAAGCACTGTTGGGAACCATGTATTGGCAGTAGCAGGGACTAGTTTGAGGGGGAAAAGCTTAACAAGTTGTACAATGAGCAATAAAGATGTTAAAGCCAAAGTTTGGTTTCTTTTTGAAAAGTCCTCATATAAATGTAAATGCATGTGATTCGCACCTCATGCTAATAACATACACCTCAAAAGTGACAAGCAACACTAAAATAAAATAAAGCCCATGGACGATGCATTTAATGGCTGATTTTCATTACCTAGATGACTATAGCCTCTTTCGAATCCAAATCATTTGTTCTACTTATTGGCCAACTTAGTAAACGAAAACGTCATTACCACTAGCAAACTAAAAGGAACTTACACATATCCAGCATAGCAATTGCTGGCCTTTTTAGATTCAAATTTCACCCAGGTTCCGAATCCTCACCGAGGAACTATCCCATGACATTTTCCTGATAGTGCATAAAATCAATTATTGCAATAATTACATCTCTTTTTGCGTGGAATCTGGCTAGCTCTGTGACTATTTTAGGTTAACAAGACGACCCAATATTACGTCAATCAAGCGCGCTTAATTCCACCTGAGATTCAAACCAGCAACGGCGTGATTCACATCATCGACACCGTGCTCAATACACCTTCCTCAATAACTCCTTTCCTCAATTATTTGATGGAACAAGATGATCTGAAGTGAGCAAATTGCTTTCAGTACAGTTTACGTTTTGGCTAATAAAAGAATTTTACCGTAGCAGTTGTCACCCGCAAACTACTTGTTTACTTTCACGCATACTGACATGCTAACTGCTCAACATTACGCATTCAAAATTATAGCGAACAGCATTAGAAATCACCATAAGACATTTTCAGCGGAGCCGAAACAATGTAAGCACCAGTAGTATAACTTAAGGCGCGTTTTCTTCGTCGAAAAGATGTGACAGAGAGATTTATTCCCCTTTCAAATTCAAATCCGCTTTCGTTGAGAGCAAGCTACTCCTTCTCTAGTTTGTGTAATAAAGCCAGGCAGTGAACTTGAGCGGGGTGTCTGATAGAACATTTGGCAGCTGTATCACTTAGTGGTCCGCCAGTTTTAAGATAAACGTATGCGCCATAGAATTCCAAATAGAATCGACCAACTGTGCGGAATATAGTCACGTACGCGAACTGCCAGTTGCGATCTCAGCACAGATAGCTATTACTCCAATTCATGAAATTAATTATCTCTATAAAAGATACTGGAAGTACACATAGAGTTAACCAAACAGGCTGAAGACATCCACCTGAAGTGTTAAGTGAACACTGTTGGCGGCTATGCGACCTTATAATAACACGCCAAATTCCGAGCTATCCAAATCAGGTATGCCGCCACCTTTTGAAGCTCAGGTCAAACACAAGCCAACTAGGTAATAGCATAAAATTAAATCAGTACAACGGTCGTCCACGTTGTCTATGACATTACCTGACATTCCTGTCTGTCAATGGCGGAAATGTCTTCGAAACAGTTCTTTTCTCTTTAACTCGGTTATTATCAACAAGCGTTTAGATATCGCGCTCATCTCTCAGAAATTACTAACTGCGTGGCCAATATGGAATCTATTCCTATAATGTAGACTATTAAAAATTGTGATCCGCCCTGACACATGGAAATCGGTTCAGGCGAGTGGGTATTCCGCTGTTTATTTACAAGAGGCATTTGTTATAATTGTTTGCTACACTGTTTCGCTTGATGCTATCTCCTTGTTATGACTTCGCAGTTGACACACGTTTTGATTTGCTCACACGTTTAATCCCCGCTACTGCAATTCTCTGCAACTCCAGGCAAATGTGTTCTGCTCATCACAAACCAATGTTCCAATGTACTTTCATTCTTCTCCAATTATGCAGGTTTTACTGTGTCAGGAGATAACTCCACTGGTGTTTCACGTAGATTACGGTTGGCGAATTGTGACAGATATACATAAGGTCGGCAGGATGCATTAAGGTGGACTACGTCCGCGCATGCGTATGATATCCAATTGTCAAGGAAACAACTTATAATTATCGCACCATATGCCATGAACCGAGATGGTGTGATACAGATCCCATAGAGCTGCGCTGCATTCCACGTCACGAATTGATAGTACGTTCCCTCGAGAAAAACGCTTGGGATTTCTTTACACAATTAACCCCTACAACTGGAGACTTAGATGGTCATTGCGAGTATGGTCAACGGCCGACTGTCAGCATTTATCGAAATCACAACAACAAACATCAACTTGCGAAAGTAATACCCGTGAAGCTCTTGGTTTGATTCAGGCTCCATAACACAGCAGTTACTCGAATACACAATAGAATACGAGAAGAATCCTAAATTGCGCCTATCAAATTATTGGTAGACCGTGATCACTTGACCTTGACCACCTACGACACCGTACACTAAGCTGTGAGGCCATTGGCTAATTCACTCAGTACTCTTTCGATTCATCTTAGAGCTATGCCATGTTATTCTCTCTTTAAAATCGATTCGATCATGCAATGCACCATTTGTTTTATGAGCAGTGCTCATGGAATAACGGTAAAATATAAGCAAACCCTGTACTTACCAGCATCAGCCATGAATTCAAGGTACACGGATTTGCTTCTGCGTTGGTGCGGATACCACGGTGCGTCCGCAGATGTGCGGCTTACCTTGTTGGTAGCGTTTTTCATCCGTATCGTTCTACAGAATTTGTGGTTTTAGTTTTGTTACGTATTGTTCTATAGTTCAAAACAAGCCTGATATTTGAACAAGTGGGCAGTGGTTTAATTTGAACATATAACTTAAGTATTAGCAAGCTCTGTAGAACGTTTGGGGTATATGGCACATATTCAAAACCAGAGGTTGCAGACACAATATACTGCTCATCTGTGAACTTATTGTGATATCCGCATGGAAATAGGCAACCGACATTCTACAGGGATTCCGTCAGGAGGTCGCTGATCACAGTATTGTTAACGCTATGTCATCCCGCACTGATTACGCATCATATCACGTAAGCACAATCGCCCAGGGCACTTTTAATACACCAAAAACAGGAGTAGGGAGCACCGGTCGTTCCACAATAGATAAAATGTGAAGAAAAACGTTCGGTGGCATTGCGACCAACTGTACTGCGCAGCCAACTACAGCTCGTGATCTCTCACGTTGGTATTGTGCTCAGGTTTCAGCTGTTGGCAACAAATGTGGCCAGGGTTCTTCAAGGCCCTGTCGGGCAACATGAGCTCAACCCGTAGTGTCAGATAGCAATAGCTCTACACAGGTTTATAGTCTAAGTTGATGTAGGAGGTGCGGTAAACCCGTAACCTCCTCATCTGCTTGTCTCTCAGGAATCCCGGGTGCAGCGAAATCTCACTTTTGCCAAGCTCCGCCGCCCTGCTGACTCGCCATATATGGCAACTCAAGTACGTGTTGAGGATTTCCGATAAGTTGGAAGTATCGAACTATCTGAACACGCAGTAAGAGAAGGGTATTTTGGTTCTTGAATTTAGGAACCCTCGAAGTTTGCTTTGAGCATGTGAGGTCATCCTGAACAAATACCCCACGGTGAGTTTACTGGAATAATGTCTGCAAGATGTGGGCTCAACGCATACATATTCGTAATAGATGAGAGCGTCTATAAATCACTTTGCCTATTCTAAGTTCAAACGATAGGGGATTTCTGTTTGAGCACTTAGAAATTTAGTCCGGTTTTCGTCGTAACAAATCGTGATCCTCATGGCTGCCGAACGCTCGCCATAGTCTCACATTGTTAGCCAAAGCCAAAAATTCAAGGGGAGAAATAATGAACAGTGACTTTGCACCGGTCAAGAAACACTGCTCTACATTCCTTGTTGGGTGGTCTGATGGGTGACCGAAAAATCTTAATGAAAAAGGCATTTAGTACTTTTGCTGTCAAAAGTACAGACTTAACCCTGTTAATCCAATAAACCTGCACGCAGTGTAGTTTCACGGCTCCAATAGGCGAACACTAATAAATTTAAAGTATTTATCTGAAGTAAGATGGAGCGATAATGCTAACAAAACGTGGGTGCTTTTGATTGCATCACCCAACCGACCTTTGAATATGACGAATGTAAGTGCGGAATCAACCGATACTCAGGAGCGTTTCACGGGTGATACATGTGAATAGAAAATGAATTTCTTCGACACTTCAGATGGCTGTACTGTTTCGCCAGTTTCAGCGAGTGAGCTCTCAGGTTTGTATTGCTGCTGAGTTACAGTAAGGACTGGCACACATGATGTGGATTGGGCAGAATCAATTAGGCCAGTATTACCTCTCCTTGTAATCGGGGATACCGTCCGCTGAATACACCCAAATGTCTCAGCGTTTGCGCGTATGGGAAACTGCATCTTCCATTAACGTACTTGGTTGCCCGACCTTGAGGCTGATCCAGTACATTATGGTCGGGTTTCAGCCATGGTTGCCAGGCTTGAATTGCGCACTCGACATGGGGTCGAACATACGCACTGAGCATCTGTCGGAAGATAGAGAAGTATATTTATCCGAAAGCCCGTCGCAACAGATCGATGTGTTGGTTACCAATTTTCAATGTCTCGGAATGCCGGTAACAAACTAAGTTATCCTGAACCAACACACCCAGGTCGCATTCGACGGAAGATCGATACAGCACTTGTTCTCCGACTCTGTATGAGTAATTGATCTGGTGCCGTATGGAGGGAACCTTGCATTTACTCACGTTGAATCTTAATAAATATTGGATGGATAACTGATGCATCGTGTCTAGGTTACTCTGAAACAGATGCTGATTGGCATTGCACTTAATCCTGTGCCAACTTTTGATGTCGTCGATAAACAGTATAACATTTGAAGCGATTACCTGTGCAAGGTTATTAATAAATACCAAAAATAATCGTGGCCCTGGAACTGATCCATGAGGAACACCAAACTCGGCTTGTATGGAGTCAGCTAAGGAGTTTTGAACTTTGGTCATTAAGTGTCATGATAAGAGCAAGTTGGCGATCCAACTTAGAAGTGAGTCATCATTGCCGTAGCAATGGAGTTTGTAAGAGAGAATCCGATGATCTAAGCGATAGGATGCCTTAAACAACAGCGGTCTCTGCAGCGTCAGCTGACTCAGTCCAACTACTCAGTGCTATTACTCAATTCGTTGTCCGCGGTCACTGTCGACGGAACTTGTGTTGCTCAGGAGCGATGCATTTTTTTGACAGCATATCAAAACATCGTCAATAACCAATTCCATGACCTTGGACAGTAAAGAAAAATACGATGCGGAGCAAAAGTTTAAAGATGCGGTCCTATCCGCCTTTGTGAATCGGAGTTATTATTCCAAGCTTCCACATGGCAAGTACCTGGTTCTGGTCTAATAAGTGCTAGAAGAACCGAGCCTAACGTCCTGCCAGTTGTCTTGTTGTTGCTCCCAGTGTCGATGCATGAATGGTGTCGACACCCGGGGAGTTGTGCTTGCGCAGAAACGTCAGGTTTTGCTAGACACATTCCGGGGTAAAAGAAATGTGGATGAATGCCAGCGGCGAAGCAACGTATCCCGGAAGAGTGCCTGTTAGTAAAACCCTCTGAAGTGTAGGGTCATATTGCGTCCGCAACGCTTTTGTTGCGTCTGTGGCCTTTCTTGTTGGACCATCAGCTGTCCACAGCGGAGGAATCCCCAGTCGCATCTTAAAGGGGTCCTTGACA